TCTCTCTCTCTCTCTCTCTCTCTCTCTCTCTCTCTTTCTCTCTCACACACACACACACACACACTACCGGGTCTGGGCGCTGAAACTTTCCGAAATCACAAAAGAGTTCCCCTACCGGGTCTGATACTTTGTGACTTGGTTCCCGGTTACCGGGTCTGTATACAATTCGATAGAAAAAACGCAAGGGGGGAAATGGAAAGTGGCCGTTTGTACAGGTGAACGTCTTTTATAGAGGTGGCCGTCAGGGCAGAGGTTCGACTACTATACTTTTAGACTAGATCTATAGAATCTAGATCTAGATCTACACACTGGCCCCATGATGTGGTCTGGTGGCCCTAAAACCTAACTGTTTATTTCTTTGACCTTGCCAGAAACTATCCTGTCACTTGAATGATGTCCGTTTGTTATTTTAAAAACAAAGTAGCCAAGTTTTTATTTGAACTACTTCTACACTAGGCTACACACCTATCACTGTAAATCAAAATGAAACTTGGCTGAAAGTCAAAGTAAACGACACACTTTTATACTTTGTTTTCTTGTAGATTTCTCAGGACTGGAAGGGACGAGTCACTACAGTCTAGATCTAGACGATCTAAAATCTAGATCTCGCCTAGATTCTAGATTTATTTTTGAAATCTTTTTTTTTACTTTTAGAGTGTAGTAGGCTATAAATTGTGAGAGTAGCTTATGTTTACGAGCCATTTAATTTTACTATGACTATAGCAAAGAATAGTAGTATAATATAATAATAATAGTACAATTAGTGGTTAGACGTCTAGTATGATTTAATGATTTATTATGGTTGTGACCGTTCAGGTGTAGATTCAACGCTGTGCTGTATGAGTGCATGCTTGGTTAAGTTTTTCATAATATAATTTATAATGATTTGTGTTTCACTGTTTGTGCATTGATGCGAAAAGCTATTTGTATGTTAAAAATACACTTTTATTAATCATTTTTACGAGATTAGAGTTTATATAGAGCCTATTTTTATGGAGAGTGGATGATGATGATACCATCATGTAGGCTTTTATTTTAAAATCATGTCTTAATATATTAGAGCTGGGAAAATATATATATATATGTCCTTTGAAATAAAGTTAATCAAAAGCACACTGGCGACAGACTGTGGACTGCTGAGTCCGGGAGACGTGGGAGAATCATGATGGAATGCAAAGGTTTTTAAAGAAAAATTGGTAAATTTGTACTTTCAGACCCGCCTTCAGACGGACTGTTTTTTGGGGTGCTGAAGTGCCACAACATTTGCTGCAGACACGCATGGCCACTAAAACTTTTCTTGCAAATCAATTGTTTTCTAGAGAATAGCAAAATCTAAAATTACCAAAACCTCAAATTATGGTGAAATACGGGGG